ATTGGGAAGATTGCCCACTGCCAGCTGGACCAAGGCTAACTGATGTCCATATTTATGCCAGGGCCCAGGCCTGCTCTGAATCCGACTGGCCAATAATTGAAACAAAAGCCAATAACCATTCCCCAATGGGATATTTTAGATCAGGGCCACATACACATCTGGAAAGGGGGAGGGGGAACAGAAGGAGGCAAGGAAAGAGTGCCTGACTCCAGGAATTTGTGCTTGACCTCAGGTGCAAAGAACTGAATTAACTATAATCCTTGGTTCATGACACATTCAACACTGATTTATGCAGAGTCCACATTGCCCTTTTATTTAATCAGCTATTAGGCTTTTAATAACAGACAAATACTTTCAAATGCATCCTCTCTCTCTCTCTCTCCCACTAAATGTGAAGGTCTGACACTAGCTCACACTAACCATCTGCTTCCCAGCAGTCCACCTCTGGCCTCAACCTGACTCCACATGAGTCAGGAGCAATCCTTCCTGGAGCTTCTTTTCATTTCATTGTATATGTGTTTCCCAAAAGTTTTCTTCATTTTAGTTATGTGTGGGTTTATAAAGGAGTTCCTGACACAGCTATTAGAAAATTCCTTGATTTAATATTTTATTCATTCCTGACTTTGCATGTCATTTGTTTATTTGTCTGGGCTGGGATAACTTTTCACTCTGTGAATTCATCAGTTTATGCTTTTTCTCAGACTGCTGAGCACTTGGGCTTCTTCCGGTCTGCGGTCTCATGGACGAGGTCACACACATCTCCTGTATGAGCTAAGTTTCTGTTGGGCTCACGTGTCTAGGAGTGAAGCCACTGGGCCATAAGAAAGGTAAGTGTTCAACTTCAGGAGACAATGAGGTGATAGCAAAGAGCTTTCCACTCTGCCTGCACTGCCTATGGACGGGGGAACGACTGTTTCCTCTTCCTAGCTACCTCAGGTTTGTTTCCCTAATTTTGCATCAGCTCTACCAAAAGGTTTAAGTCTGGCCTGACACCTAAGCAGCATCTCCGATGAATCCCTCCACATGGAAAAGTTCTTGTTGGGCACTCAGTTTACAGGAAGCACACTAAGCAGATCAGTCACCCACCCTGTGCAGACCTGGGTCAGGCTTGTCCAGTGAAAGGGACAGCCTAAAAGCCACACTGGCAAATACGTGACATGAAAAGGAGCTAGGGAAAAACTAAAGCCAGTTCCCCAAGCAGGATCACTTGCTCCATCCTCCCCAGTCTTCTCTCATAACCAAACTACGTACTAATTTTTAAACAAAGAACAAAAGCCAGGCCAGGGATTTAGCTCAGTGGTGCAGTGCCTGCCAAGTGTGAGTCCTGAGTTCGATTCCCAGCACCAAAACCAAAAAGAACAAAAGCATAAAAATGGAAAGCCCAGCACATAAGCAACCAATTCAGGTTTAGATGAGAGCAGGGCTCCAGGCTGGCTTTCACTATACAGCCCATTTGATCTCAATGTTCTACAATGGGACAAGGACATTGAGAAGGTCTCTACTCTGCCCTCAACAGGTCTGCAAGTATGCTCACATATAGCCAGGATCAAGCATGAAGAAGCCCAGAGATAACTTCCTGCCAAGAAAAGGAAGATGCTGGCCTGATGGTACAACATTCACTGTAGAAAGATTAGAAGGTAGAAGAGTACCAAATACAGACGTTGTTCCAAGGTGAGATTTATGGATTCTAATCAAACATTAGAAGATGGGTGAAGAGCTGTTGAAAAGCAATATTGGAGCTGGGCTTGAAATTGAATCAAGTAACCAAGAGCAGAGAGAACAAAGAAAGCATGTACCTAAAACATTTGTGAAATCAATTTCTGACCCAGATCTCTCGATCTTCTCCTTTGCTCCTATTTCTCAAACTTCTCATATCTTTATTTTCCTGCCTCTGGTCATGGCAAAGCATTAAAAAGTGGAATCTGTGGATCATCATCACATGCACTTTATCTGTATTTATTCATTCATTCCACAAAGAGCAAGGGAGTAAATCCCTACCCTACCCTGAGTCCTGGGGATGCAAGGATGGACAAGACGGCTCAGCCCCTGCCCTTACCCTGCTCCTGGTCTTCAATAGCAGACAGAGAATTAAACAAAAACAGACAGTCGACTTGGCCTGACCATCAACCAGATTGAACCAGCCCAAGAGAGCCCCTCCCTGCCATAGCCCTCCCCTGAAGTATTTCAGTAAATTGGGCAGGATTAAAGAAATGGCTGTCTGCTCTGTAATTAAAAGAATCTTGACCAGCATCCCAGGTAGCCAAGCAGCTGCTCAGAGCTAAAAGACCCCAAAATCAGGTGCTTCCTACATAATAGCCTCCAATCTGATACTTGATAGCTGCTGGCTCCCAGAGTCAAACAAATGTCAGGAATTTTATGAAGGAAGGCAGGAAGCAAATAAGGGGGCAAGGTTTGGGGTCTAGGCCCCAGGGGAGCTCAATTAGTGAGCCAGATAAAGTTAAACCAAGAGGGCATGTTCTTGGTTTCCTAGAAAGCCAGCTGGAACAGATGCCAATCTCTAAACCTCTGTCACTCAAAAGATTAACAGAAGAGACCTAAGGGTGCCCAAAGGGAATTCCACAACAAGCCAGATGTCTTTGTTCTTCCTATAATGCCATCAGTCTCAATGACAGTCATACTTGTGGGGCCACCACGAAGCCATAGAAGAGACCTGGAGGCCTTCGAGATAGACGGAAGCTCAAATGTTACTCTTCATTGACATGGGTAAATACTGTTAGTGCTTTCTCTGCAGACCCATCTGATGCATCTGGGTCCAGAGTTTTCTCGTTGAGTCATCTGTTCCTTTAGCAGGAACAGCATCCCAGGCTGGGCCAGCACTCCCTATAGCTCTGGGTGGTAATGGCATAGAAAGCACACACTCTCTCAACCCACTTAAACTAGGATTTGTCTCCCAGAGCCACAACAGGGCACCATGAGGGATTCAAGCCTCCCTGAGCCTATTCTCCTCTCCAGCAAAATGGCACCCCCCCAAAAAAAATCTATCTTTTCTTCTTGTAAGCATAAGAGGTCAGTAAAGTGACCCACCAAATGCGCATTTCTGGTACTCTTACTGTTGCCCATGGTGTACATATCAATGAAGTAACCATGTGCTCAAGACAGCAGCTTCCCCTTGGCACCCTCTCAACACACGTGTGCTCATATGTGCGCACAAATGTTCGAGAGATAGAAAGGGCAAAAGGAAAAGTGAAGTAAAGAGAAAGATATAGCTGAGGTATCCCCAAGCCTGGTTAAAGCTCTCACTTATGCTCCATCACTTCTATGAAATTAATATATTAAAGAAGTTGGGAAACCTTAACCAAAGATTTCCCCTAAGAGCCATGGCTTTCCCCTTAAGAGGGGCTTCCTCCAACTTCAGAAGCCAGGGCAGGAGGGCCTTGTGGCTTGGGACATCAGACAGGAACAAATGAGTTCCCTACCATTTGTTGGAGGGCCTCTCTGCTCCCAACCCTCCCGTGGACCCTCCTGTGGGCGGGCATCCAGGTTTCAGCCGGGTTGCTCTGGTCTCTGTCTCTGTCTTAACTGTTCCTAATTATTGGAGGAACGCTGTGGCTCTCCTGACCTCAGAGTTTAAGAGCTCCGAGTCCTAATATCAAACCAAGCAGTTTCATTTAAAAGGCATCCTCATCGGCATCCATAAAAGTCACCCCCAGAGTCCTGACTTGCCTCAGCCCTGCGAATGCCTGCTGTCGAGGATTTATGACACGCCCTGGATCTAATCGGCCGCACTTTAACTGCTGCTGTTGCACATCTGGTCATAAAAGCAAGGGCTGGCCCAACACGGGGACAAACACTTTTCTTTCCTAAGTGGCTGCAAATCTGATCTCACAGCGATAGCCGGATTGGGTGTAATCGGCTCTACATTGGAGCAGTCACACATCTCAGCAGTCATTAAGGTTCTCCAGGCTTTGTGAGGCTGTTCCTCCACACGCATCAGTGACAAAGGCGACTCTTATACAGCAAGATCCATGAATCAAGAAGCTGCAGTCTGAACAGGTGTGAATGGGGCTGGCTAGCCATCCAGGACATGGGGCCCACGGACATCCAGGAGGGACAGCACGAGCAATCTCCTTTTCAGACACCCTAGTTACCTTTAGGAGAACTGGACATGCAGGTAGCCTGAGAGCTGACTTACCAGGACGGGTGGCCAGAGATGGCCTGGATTAAGTGTGGCCAAGTAAACCACTAGAGGGGTTAACAGTACATTTTTAAAGCAGCGAAATGCTTTATTAGACCAATTGGAGGGTGTCGGGGAGGACAACAATCTAGACCAGAAATAAACACAACCACGCTGGTTCCAGATTTTACAATGCCCTGGACAGCCTGTCCAGTGCATAGAATTGGCACGTTGCATGTCGTTCACAAACTCCAATCGGACCAAGGTTCAACAAGTAATCTAACCTCCCGGCACTGCACCCTGGAGAAGAAACCCTCAAACGTTGTGCAAGCTTTCCGCGGCCCCCCACCTCGGCCCCTCCTCCAGGGCCGTGCCGGCAGGAGGGAGCATTAAAATTATCTGCTGTGGGTTTTACGAGCAGCGATCGCTTTTTAAAACAACAACAACACAAGGTCCTTGTGTGGCTCCCGGGTAACCTAAAACTCCAGGCAGAGCTGCCCCCCGCCTGCCAAGAAGGCCATCTCGCCGGGAAGGTCGCAGCGCGCGACCACAGAGAAGCGGGACTTCAGGGAGGCTCCCTCGGACGGAAGAGGTACCTTTGGGTGCCCTAGAGCAAAATGCCGCGGGAGAAGAAATTGGGAAAGAAAACCCCACGAGAGGCAGTTGGGGGAGAGGATTGGTGTCCCAAGAGGTGGAGTGGGAGTGATTTTTCCTCAGCAACTTCTGTAAGAAGCCCGTAGGGGACTGAATCGAAGCTGGGACTCGGAGACCTGACGCCTCCTTCCTCTCCTCCCGCGCCCGGGGGTGAGCCGCCCGGCGACCTCGCCTCCCTCCGCAGGTGGGCGCGCGTCTGGAGCGCACTTACCCTGGGGCCCGTGGTGCGGTGGCCGAGAGCCGAGGGCAGCTGCACCAACACGAGCAGCAAGTGGGGCGTGAGCAGGCGGGCGCCGAGCACAGGGAGCATGGTGCGGGCCGGGCGGGGGCGCGGGCGGGCGGGCGGAGCAGGGTGCACAGCGCGCCTGCCTCGCGGCCGGGCTCTGCTCAGGGGCCTTCGCGGCCGCAGCGGGCAGCGGGCGGCGGCGGGTGGCGGCTGCGGCAGGACGAGTCGGTCACGCACCGCGACGGCGGGAGCTGGAGCGCGAGCGAGTGCTCGGCCGTGTGCTCTGCGCGCTGCGTCCGCTGCGCTCGGCCGGGCAGCGGGGCAGCAGGTTGGACGCCGGAGTCCGGGCCATGGGAATTCCCGTTATAAACCCCCGGGAGGGGCGGGGCGGGCCCGGCGGCTGATGGACGGGCCCGGTGGCCTGTAGCAGCCGACGCGCTGGCAGGTGAGAGCCAATGGGAGAGGGGCGAGAGGGGCGGCCGGCAGGCAGCGGGCAACACTCAGAGCTGCACTGCTCGAGCTGCCCCAGGGGACTCCTGGGGACGCTGGGCTAAACAGTAACTTTCTCTTGCCTTTTTTGCCTGAGGAAGCCTAGACGAGTTCCAGCAGCCTCAAACCCACCCGAACGCTCCCCTGCTGGCCAGGCAGCCTGGTGCGTGTAGTTTCGCTCAAGTGTGTGGTTGTCCGAATAGCTCCCTGCAAGAGGCACGAAAGCACTTCGAGCTGCGTGTTTTCAGAGGACAACGCCAGGGCACAGAAGCACTGAGAAATCTGTTTCCCTGCTGCAGCAACATCAGGGGCCGCAGGGAGTCGCCAGGTGACCCGCGCAGGGTGGGCTGGGACCGCGTGGAAAGTGAGGAGTGGATGGGAGCAGTTGCTGCTGGCCTAGAAGTTCCCTGGGCGTGACACCCAAGTCCACAGCAGCTGCCCCAAGAAGTCTCGAGGGACGTGGAGAGGAATCACTAGGTCTCCTGGCTCCCCCCTCTGAGCTGCCAGGCGACGCTTCCTGAGGCCTCACAGCCCGGGAGAGAGAATCAGAGGCGCCCTGGTCCCCTGTAAGGAGAAGGAAAAGCCATTGATGGGGAGGGCAGTAGTTTGTGGGTGCAGAGGTCCCAGAGATGGGGGTCAGCTCTCTCCTGGGCACTTAGCTCCGTGGAGAGGAGAGCCACAATTATCTTCTTAGCAATGCTTTGCTTCCCTGGTCTGAGCCACTAGCTCCAGGAGGGATTCTTCTCTCCAACCCGACTGTAAAACCTTTAACGCCCTTGTCCTCTCCTCCCTGTCCGGCTGGGAGGTCCTGACAAAGATTAACTGTGCTCCCCGGGACTTCTGCCCTGAACCGTGTGAAGGAGATGCCCATGACGCCAGCATTCAGCTCTGTGCACCCCTGTACTGGCCCAATCAGCCTCCAGGCTGCAGCCCGTTGCCCTTTTAAATAGCAGGCCTGGCTGAGCGCACTGCTCCCCGGCTTACGGGCTTTGCCCTTCCCGACTGTCCCCGGGCGGAAGATCCCAGACTGGGCACTGGATCAAGAACAAAGTGTCTGCGGTTCTCCCAACAAACACTGAAAACACCTCCGAAAGAACTGTCATCTTCCTCTACTGGGATTAGTGCAGTGGCCAGACATACTCGCCGGAGCTCCACGGCGGGAGTTTCAGTCCTGGGTCTGCCACCTAGTGGTCTAACCTTGAACGAGAATTCTCTTGGTGCTGAGGTCTAGTTTTCCCTTCTATAAAATGGGGATTAAAAATTGTATCCCTGCCTGAGTTGTAGCCAGGATTAAAAGAATGGAATATGTAGAGCCTGCAGAACGGTCAAATTAGAAACACTGCCATCTGGCATTCGCAGCAGTGTCTCCCCTCATTTCTCCTCAAAATGGGAAGTAGGGAAGAGGCTCCTACCTGGAGGTAGGCAAATGGTATCCATGAGACTGTGACCTTCCTGGCTTCACACAGCAGGTAAGTGATAGTGCTGAATTTTCAGGCCACAGTTTGGAAGCCTAATTCTCTCTCTTTCATGTGAGGACTTCAGTCTCACATGCCATAGGGTTCGATGTTGTCCATGGGTCATCAGGGATTTCTTTGGTGCCTGCAAGGTAACTGAGACTTGGAGGCTTGACTGGGCTTTGAAGATGAGGCCATTTCCAGCCAGGGTCAGGCCTTCCCTGAAACAGCCCTTGCGATCCAGTATCCGGGGAATTTGTAATTCTATTTCTGAGCTGCACCTTATGAAATACAGCAGTTGCCACGTGTCCTAAGTGCTCACCTACAAGGACCCTAACAGGATAGGAATGTCACCATCATGCTCAACAGGCTGGCAGGTTACTCCTCACTCTATCCCCCTAGCCAGGTGTGTCCATCAAACTGGTTAACATCTTTCTGTTCTATTGAGAAATCTATTGGCCTGAGTAAATATACTTAAGGCCCCTCCACATCATGTCTGGCAGTAAAAAGCACCTACAGAAAGCACACTGCAATAGTCCTTTCCATCTTTAACACCGAATGCTGCTTTCCAGCCAGAAAATTTATTTCCAAGTGCTTTTTGGTCCAAACATCAACATGATCCTGGATTTCAACCATAGCTTAGTTTAAAATATGAGCAACTGCTTTAAAATATAAGAAACTGCTCCCTGGTCATTTTACTCAGCAAGTATTTTCTTTCCCCATGGGTGGCATGCAGGGATCGCTGTATCCATGGCCATCATTCAAATGAAGGCTTTCCTTCTCCCAGGCCCTCTCAGGCCCAGAGAAGGTTAGAAATTCCAGAGAACTTTTAGTCTCAAACAGCATCTCTCTGCCATGCTCAGTTGTCTAAGTCAAACCAAAAAGTGAAATTGACAGGCTCTTTCTTTCCCCAGAAGTCAGTTTGTCATTCAAAAACAGGCCCATCTTTTTTGGCAGCTGATCTGTTCAGTTTGGACCATGTTCCTTGTCCTATGGGACTTCTTTTTGTGAGGGAATATTTCAGTAGAACCGCAGATATTTAGTATGAGTGAGAAACACCAGCCTCGTAGATATGTCTATGCTCCTGTATAATTCAGAGTTGCATTCAGAATAGTGCCTACCTTTCTGTTCATTTGAACAAGCACTTCAGTGCATCTCGTTTGGTGCCTAGGACAATGTCCATTGTGGTGAGGCATCTTTGGACCCACACCCTACCCTCTGAGAGGCTGCAAACTATTAAGATGGAGAGCAGACAGATACCCAAAAACTACAGTTAAGAGGGAAACCTATACTGTATTTGGAAACTTAGACCTAAGGGGCAGGAAGGTCTTGTATGGTTGGTGATCTGGAATGAATCTTTGGAGCAAAGAGCTTCTACAGTGTAAACATACCTTGATTTACATTCAAGTCACTCATGACAGCAGCCATGTCTGAGGTGTAGGACTCTTGCCAGACCTACTACTGAGTGCAGGAGCTTGGAACACCATCTTAGTCACTTTTCAGTTTGTAGGTTTCATCCCATAACTGGATGGCTCTGAGGCAGAGGAGCATCACAGAGGAGAAATAGAATATGACAGAGCAGGGCAGGAGGCAAGCAGCAAGCAGCAGCTCTCTTTCTGTTCCTCACATTCTATCTAGGCTACTGCCCTTAGGGTTGGCAGGATGCACACTCAGGGTGGGATTTCTCATTATCTACTCCCAGATCTAGGCCAAACCAATCCATGGGCTGATGCAGAAATCACACACCTCTAATCCCAGCACCACACATTCTGGATCCCGCCACCTCTGAAAATTCCTCATGTAGGACCACATGAGGCTTTGGAGGGGAGGTGTCCACATACAAGCCACAACAGACATCAAGTGTACTGAGTTCTTTCTAGATTCATGCTGTATCCTTACCATCTGGCTGGGTTGGGGCTCTCTAGAGAAACAATCAATAGAGGGAAATATGCATAATCACAGTCATGATTCAAGGTATATATATATATATATATATATATATGTATAATTACGCATGAACCTTTTTAGATAGGCTTGCAGAATCAGAGACAGGGCAGTCTACAATGACTGTGTACACACCGGAGGGCTGGAAGTTCAGCAGCTGCTTGGTGCAATAAGCTGGAAGCCACAGAGTAAGAGGGATCAAGGGTGCAGTGCCAGCCTAAAACTGAAGGCCTACAAGCTCCTGGAAAACCACTAGCAGAAATCCACATTGAAATACAGAAGAAGACCCAGTCTGATGTCCACAGGCAATGGCAGCAAAAGCATACTCATGTGAACAGAATGGAGCTTTGTAAGTGCAAGCCAGCTTTCTCCGCCTTCCCTTTCACTCCAGCGGGGCTGCAGCCTGCTGGATCGCAGGCCCACTGTCGGGATGGGTCTTCCCTCCTCAGCTGGCTGGCCCACCTGCCTGTCATCTCTGATAGCAGCCCTCCATAGACACAGCCGGAAGTATGTTTTCAAATCCACCAAGCATTTCCAAAACCAGTCAGACTGACAGGCATGATGAAAGGTGCCTGTTATACGAGGGAAGCTCCCCACAAATGTTAGTCTTCTCAAGACCACACTTTAAAACTGAAATCCACCGATGAAAATGGTGACGAAAAAATCCAGACATTCCTCTCTTTTGTACAAAAAGACACAGTTTAAAATCTTCAGTTAATATTTTCTTTTCTATATCTTCCACTTGCTTTTTATGAAAAGTCGTCCACAGGATTTTTCCATTGACAAATTATTTTAAGTAAATTTTGCATACAGACCTAAAAAAGAATGTTGTCATATGTCTTCTTAGCAAAATAAAGTGGTTTAAGCTTTTGTCCTAAAACAGTCTGGAATTAAATTCATCTTGTTGAGTGACTAACTGGATAAAAATACCATGTTTCCTCATCTTGAAATCATATTTTTAATCCATTAATTCTTGACTTGGAAAAAATTATCTAGGGTATTGTCCTCTGCGTACTCAAAGGCCATATGTATCTCACATAATCGATTTCATCATTTGTCTAAACTCTACTATCTCATTGAATTCATCTTCCAGTTTACCTAATAATCATATAATCCACTTCCTCGATCTATGTTCTTCTTTTTGCCATAACAAGCAGAGAGTAAGAAATCCAGATTTTTTACCTCTGTTCATGATATCTAAAATTATCCTTGTTTTATTTTATATGTTCTTAACAATCATGCAAAACTTTAGGCAACACAGCAGGAAGATTCAAAGATGATAAAGTTCAGGGCTGGCCAAATAGCTCAGCAGATTAAGGGGCCGGGGTTTGATTCCCAGGCCTGCCATGCTGGCTCCGCCCACCAGGGCGCACTAACATGGCAATTGAGACAGCGTGGTGGTGTGTCCCTGTAATCCCAGCTCTTGGGAGGCTGTAAACAGGAGAATCACTACAAGTCCAA